ATTCAAAACTATGGTTTAAATATCTGCAAGCAGAAAAATGATATGGAGTGGCTTCCTGTGAAGTTTAATATCCTTACCTTGAGCTTGGTTCAAGAAATCCAAGTAATACAGCAATGTTCTACTAAATGCAGCAACAGAGTTGACTTGCTAGAGGCAATGGAACAGTCAAGTATTGCAGAAATTTCAGCTATTTACAAACTGTTTGCTGACCACTTTCTTTTCATATTGGTATTTTTAATCATACACTTTTTAAGAGTTCTCTGCTTTTTTATTGCATACGGTAACACTGTGTAATTGCACATATATTTTATCTGGCATGCAGGATGAAATGGTCTCTTTTGCCAACTTGTCTTGCTCCATATTCTGGTCCAATTCTGCAATGGAGGACACAGTTCTTCCTAGTTCTGTAAGAGGAAGACTAGGAGGTCCTAGTCAACGTCGGTTGTCAAATTCCATGACAACTGCTGTGTTACAAACCGTATAATTCCTTGCTTCTAACTGTATTTTGTTTTTTTTCTTTTATTCTAATTGTCATTATGTGATATTTTTATGAAACACATACATTCACATAGATAGACAAGTATACTTTTAACTTCCAAATGCCAGTATCTTCGTGACATGTTATTGGTGTTTTGTTGAACAAATGCACTTCTCCTAGACATTTGCATTTACTTAGCCACTTTAATTGCTGGTTATCTCTTTATGAATAAACAGGTGACGTCCATAAAAGCTGTTGCGACAATGTCATTATTGTGTGCACAATGTCAAAGTGACATTTTGCTAAATTCTTTAACATTTTTGTGGAAGTTCTTCTGGAAGGCTACTGGTTCTCCAACTTGTGATTCTGAAGTAAGTTTTATCATTTTTTCTGTGCAAAATGCTAGCAGTTCCATTAACACAGTTTTTTTGTTTTACTTTTTTTCTCTTTGGTAAATATGATTTTTTCTTAAGACAAATTTTGAATTTTATACAATTCCTTATTCTTTTAAATTAGACAAAATAAACTCTTCAACCATCCTTAAGTTCCAAAATAGATACACACACACACACACACACATATATATATATATATATATGTGTGTGTGTGTGTGTATCTATTTTGGAACTTAAGGATGGTTAAAGAGTTTATTTTGTCTAATTTAAAAGAATAAGGAATTGTATAAAATTCAAAATTTGTCTTAAGAAAAAATCATATTTACCAAAGAGAAAAAAAGTAAAACAAAAAAACTGTGTTAATGGAACTGCTAGCATTTTGCACAGAAAAAATGATAAAACTTACTTCAGAATCACAAGTTGGAGAACCAGTAGCCTTCCAGAAGAACTTCCACAAAAATGTTAAAGAATTTAGCAAAATGTCACTTTGACATTGTGCACACAATAATGACATTGTCGCAACAGCTTTTATGGACGTCACCTGTTTATTCATAAAGAGATAACCAGCAATTAAAGTGGCTAAGTAAATGCAAATGTCTAGGAGAAGTGCATTTGTTCAACAAAACACCAATAACATGTCACGAAGATACTGGCATTTGGAAGTTAAAAGTATACTTGTCTATCTATGTGAATGTATGTGTTTCATAAAAATATCACATAATGACAATTAGAATAAAAGAAAAAAAACAAAATACAGTTAGAAGCAAGGAATTATACGGTTTGTAACACAGCAGTTGTCATGGAATTTGACAACCGACGTTGACTAGGACCTCCTAGTCTTCCTCTTACAGAACTAGGAAGAACTGTGTCCTCCATTGCAGAATTGGACCAGAATATGGAGCAAGACAAGTTGGCAAAAGAGACCATTTCATCCTGCATGCCAGATAAAATATATGTGCAATTACACAGTGTTACCGTATGCAATAAAAAAGCAGAGAACTCTTAAAAAGTGTATGATTAAAAATACCAATATGAAAAGAAAGTGGTCAGCAAACAGTTTGTAAATAGCTGAAATTTCTGCAATACTTGACTGTTCCATTGCCTCTAGCAAGTCAACTCTGTTGCTGCATTTAGTAGAACATTGCTGTATTACTTGGATTTCTTGAACCAAGCTCAAGGTAAGGATATTAAACTTCACAGGAAGCCACTCCATATCATTTTTCTGCTTGCAGATATTTAAACCATAGTTTTGAAT